TGTATCTTTTTAAAAGCGAAGGTAGATTTTTAACAATTTTATGGGATTCCTGGGGGTCCATAGATTCTTCAAGGTACTTAGTGCGCGACTTCTTTCACAAAACTATTATAATCTAAGCCTTCATCAAAATTATAGGAAAAGAACACTATTGTTTCTATATAGGTAAATAATATACTATTTATTAGAATCAACGTAATAAAAGTAAATTCAATACAAAATATTACAGTATATCTATGTGTAACTACCACCGGTAAATAAAAAAATTAGTTTTTTTGTAGCAATAAATATACGTTGCTTGATATTATATTTATTATATTATATGTCTTCAGATGTATTGTTATTATTGTTAGTATAGGCTATATTTATTTATATTTTTTTTGTATTTTGCCATATATTTTGTAATATGAATGTATTTATATTGACTTGTTCTATATCCATTGCGATCCTGAGAATAAATAAACATTATTATTATTACTTTTATTATTATTATTATTTTCTATTGTGTTCTTTTTTTTTCTTTAAATTTCTGAACTCAAAATTTGGAATTAAATATTTTGAAATAAACATAGGTATACATATAGGTTAATTGTGAATTTAAAATTATAAATCTAGAATCATAAACTCGAAATCGAATACTTCACACCGAAAGTCTGAAATTTTGAATAGGAAATATACATTCTTAGTCAAAAATAGAAATTCAGAGATGAAAAAATAAAAAATTTGTAATCTAAAATAAGAGATTTTCGATTTCACATTTACAATTTTGGATAAAAAAATCAAGATTCAAACCCTCAAATTCGAAATCTTATTTATAATATAGCATAAATTAGTAGTACTATAAATTATTATAGTATACATAATATGTATTACATATACATGTTTGCAATGAGACAGTTTGAAATATTGGAATAAAATATTCTTTGAAACGTATGTAGATCTGATTTGAAGTTTTATACTATAAAAATAAAATGTTTTACGTGAATAACACTTGATCCTTTCATTTTTATCCGTAAGTACCTTGAATAATACATCCCTTCGAAATCCTGAGCCATGAATATTATTGTGTAAGGCAGGGGGGTTGGAGTGGGAAAAGTTTAAATAATTAAAAAAAAATTCTGGTAAGGGCCCCCTAGTTAAAATCCGACTGGGGCCCCCATTTCTATAGTTACGCCACATAATGTATTACAGTATCTATAATGTAGATTATGGTGGTCCACAATTGTATGGAGAGAAAAAACATTGTTGAATCTTGCCTTCACCAAAGTCGTTTTGTACGAATATTATTAGACAAAATTAATTTATTTTCATTATCAGGGGAAATAACAAATCATGTGAAAGAAAAAATTACCACCTCAGAATGTGTGATCCGGTTTTCTAAGAATTTCGTGATAAGTGTTGTAAAATAAGAGTTGTTAATGATACTTCCGAACGGGGAATCAGTCTTATTCAAAAATACAATCAGATACTAACCAATGATGAAGAACAGATGCATATATATTCTTATCATCATTGCACTGGAAATAGTTTTCTGAGCTACATGGGGAGACAAAATATTAAAAACGCTTATTTTTAGGTTTACCTTAATGGCCATTCGGATTCAATGTATTCAAAGTTTGGAAAATACCAATTCCATTGCTTCAACTTGATTGCTTCAACTTGATTTATTATTTTATTCAACTATTATTTAATTAAATTTGACAATGTAAATTATACTCCTAAGAATCTGCGTTATTTAAAGAATCCATTTTCAACAGTTTAATTACTTTCAAATGGTTACTGTTTAATTTCAATGCACTACAAACATTAAAAATAACCACCGACAACAACAGTAGTTACCTACTATTGCGCACCGACCAAATTAACACCTCCAACGAAAAGTGTAATTTTCAAGCCATGCAAATGAAAATGCTATTCCAACCATAATTAGAATGTCAGCAAATGTGGACGAATTTATAGAAATATATGTGCAAAAAACAACTTTAACTTTATGTAATAAAAATGAAATATGAGACACCTGATATTAATTAGGCATACTAATATGATTACTTAGATCTATCAAAATGAATATGCACTCAAATTTAAAATTTAAATCTGGAAAATATATAATTTTTAAAGACAGGCTTTTTAAAACACCTGCCGTTCTCTACTTGGTATACATAAACGAGTACCAAGCAACCTTAATTATCACACAAGATGGAAAACAATTCCTCGGCAAGCAAATTATGAATAATCCGCGTTTATAAACATACGTAGCTTTAAGGAAATTTGAATTGCAAATGCTTAGTTTTTTAGAGGAGAGTTATGCGATGGCGCAGTATAATGGATACATAACTGGCTTCATTACACATTCAATATACGAAGAGCATGTCCCTTATTATCATATTCATGGAAAAATTAGTTGTCAGGTTTTTATAAACCTCATTATTTTTACCAAATATTTCTTTATTTTGGTATCTCGCACTGCACCACCACACTAAACTTTTCTTGTATTAAATTTTACCTGGTTCCTAATACAGAAACAAAATAAAAAAATCTTGCCCACAACACGAAAGAACCATTTTCATACGTTTTTGGGGTCGTTTAATCTAAAAATTCATTTACTTTCTAGCCTTGAAAAAGGTGATATTTGCCATTCGTCACATTTCTTATTAAAAAAATAATAAATTGAGACACCTAATTTAAAACTATAAATAAGAACTTAAAATAACAAAAATTAATAGAACATTTTTCAATTAAATATAAAAATATTTTTAATGTCTTAACTAAGGTTGATTCTAAAACTAAAATGAAATAACAAATAAGTAGTAATCAGTACTAATAAAGAATGTGATAAAATGTCTGTGAATATTTTTAAGCGTAACAAAACCTTGTCGTTTATATTTAAGGTCTACTTCGTCACAAAGCGCCTAAACAAAAACAGCTTTATTATAAATTACACTGGAGATTAGCATCGCATATAAAAGAACTCTGTAACATATGTAGTTCATAATTGTGGCACGAGATAGCGCCGCTGCAGGCAATGGTATCGCTATTCTGATTTTGCGCGTAAAAACAAGCATTGTGTGTTTTTGAAGGTTATCTTTCGTCACGTCATTTACTCGGTAAGTATTTGCAGTACTTAAGTTCCTTTTTCATGTAAAGTAAACCAATTTGTTTCTTTTTTATTCATGCAATGTTTTTATGTGCATTTATTGTGTCACTTGGAAAACAGATTTTTTTATTGTGAAAAATCTCTCCTTCGTCACATGTCTCTTTTGTTAAACTGCACTGCATTGCTACTACATTACAACTTAAAAATAAGCGAAACATTACTGCTGAGAGTAACATTAGAAATACCTTTGCCTAAATAATAGTCACAATGGATATGAAAATGTAAAATATTTATTTCTTAGAGGTAGATGAGTCTAAAAAGTATAATGAATCGCGCAACTCATAGTTTTGTAGGAAATTAACTGCTCTACAAAAATGGTCTTTTATGATTTGTCGATTAAATTAAGCGTTTAAAAGATATTCATCGTCAAACTTCAATGCATACTAATTTTAACAGTTTTTGATGAATAATTCGAAAAATTTCAATTTAATTTTTGAGTTTTACGAAAATTTATACAAATTCGAGTTTCTATCGTAAAAGTAACTCTTATAGAAGTTTCCCTTTCGAAAATTTTATTTGAGACTTTTTTATTTTAATAAAATTTTCATGAAATTTATCTTTATATTATAATATAATTTATCTTTATATTATAATAACTTAAAATCATAAGCAATTGAAAGTTGTTAATGATTCGGCAGAGCAAGCTGTTGCATTAGTCGATGATTATAACCAATGCTTAGCAAAAAATGAAGAGCAATTTCAATATTTATTGCAAGTTAAAAAAGAACATCGCAAACAATATCCAAATTGTAATAAAGAAAACTTTTTACAGTCAAAGTGTACGATTATATTATAAATATTAAAATTTTTATTTCAGTTGATAAAATTAAATAAAGAAATTTTAATAACAAATAGAAAATTTTTTTTTCTTCAAGATCAATTCTTTTCATATTAAATTTATGACAAAAACGTTATTTTTTTCAAAATTTAATAAATCATTGACTCTGAGTTAGTAATAAAGCACTATTTTTCTTTTCAATATAACCAAACATATGTAGAACTAAAAAAATCAGAAAAATAGTTTCTCTTTTCATAGGAACTCAAATTTGTATAAATTTTCGTAAAACTCAAAAATTAAATTGAAATTTTTCGAATTATTCATCAAAAACTGTTAAAATTAGTATGCATTGAAGTTTGATGATGAATATCTTTTAAACGCTTAATTTAATCGACAAATCATAAGAGACCATTTTTGTAGAGCAGTTAATTTCCTACAAAACTATGAGTTGCGCGATTCATAAAAATTTTTTTTGTAAGCGAGTTATAAAATTCATAAGCAAAACAGAAATTTCTCTTAAAATAATTAAACTTTAACCATCGATATCTTTTAAACGGTGAGGTTTACGAAAAAATTGTAAGATACCTTTTTTGTAGAGCGTTCGATTTCCTACAAGAATATGTGGAGAGTTATTTTTTAACGAACAGTTGTCGAAGAGATATAAATTTTTGTTCCTAATACTGAGGAAAAAATGGAAAATTGTAAAGCGGAGGACCTTGTTATCAAAATTAAGAGCTCGTGTTTGGTGAGAATTCTCTAGAGTTGTCTAGTAACCGATTTTTCAGAGTACAAAGTAAAAAAAAATAGTCGGTTTTTTTGACCACCCTAATCCACATATACATGTATATTCTTAGAATTTTACCAGCCGATAGTTTATTATTTTTTAATAAACCATAGCAACCAGAAGAATAAAATTATCTGAAAATTTTCTTTAATTGCATAGTTTTCTTATCTATAAATAAAATGTATTATAATATATTTTTTAATATAGGTACTCGAACAAACCAATATTTTATCAACAGGTGATTTAAATTAGGTACTTATATAATAATATATAATAATACCGTATTAGCTGTGTGTTAGTTAAGATGATTGGACTTTTATGTTCCTGGTGTTTTATAAAACTTGTTTTAGGCGTTGCCATAATTTTGTCTGCAATAAAAATTTATTGTAAATTAACAATTGGTTGGTGTAGAAGTCAAGCATGTCTTACAGGCAAAACAGCAATTGTAACTGGAGCAAACACCGGTAAGTAATGAAACAACCCCAACTATTTACTAATTATTATAAATAATTATGTGCATAGATGTTTTAAAAATATTAATTTAATTAATAATAATAGAGTAGTCACCGTTCTTAAAAATAATACTAATAAAATGATTAGCGTCAGTTTCGTAGCCCTGAAATATCTTTGGATATTGAAATGAAAAGCCAGAGTTTATACTACAACTAAATATATTAAGAGAAAATAAACTAATCTAACTAACAACATAACTAATATAAAATACAAATTAAAAATAAGTTATTTCTAATAACTGATAAAAGTATAATTATTATACGAGAGATAATGCGCATAATCTCAAATGTAATATAATAAATTAAAGCGAGGGGTAAACCACTTTAAAATCTTAGAGACCAACAACGTTCAATGTTAGTGGACGTTGTATTTTTCCTTATCAGTCGTTATCAATAATAGTCCTGGAGCATAAAGCAATAAAATATTCTCCGTGGGATTTGTTATGAAGGAATGATGGTACTATATGGGATAGCTTTTTTATACCTTTTTGTGTTGTGTGGTACCGGGTGTTTACTTTGAAAATATGTCTGGTGGTGTTTATGGCATTTCTAATCCAAAATGTCCACCATTTTCGACATTCATTTATAAAATGCCAAATAATTAATTTTTTCTACTCCTATTACGGAATTTGACCCTTCTAATATTACTTTTATCTATGCAATGACATATATTCCGTAAAGTGTTACAGAATGAAATATTCTATCATCTGATGACAGAATAAACACTGGTGGCGACATCTCTGTTTTTAATATCTAACAAATTTTAGACCGATCCAACCTCACTTTCTTCCAATTAAATTATTTTTCTATGGCATTTTTTGTAAACGTAGAAAAAGTATAGTCTGAAACACGTTTGGAATAGCATACTCCGCTCTCGTGAAACCGTCAAACTCGCCTTCGGCTCGTGTGACAAACTCTTCACTCGAGCGGAATATGCTGTATTCCAAACTTCTGTGGGTAAAAGGCATAAGGGGATAAGTCAAAAAAAGGAATTTTTCAATAGAGCCTTTAACGTGATCGCATTAATTCAGGAAATATATTTATGTTTAGCGGGTATACGCTTTTGTTAGCATATTACATGTGGTAACAAAAGGGTATACCCGCTAACCATAAATATGTTTCCTAAATTAATGCGAATACGTTTAAGGCTCTACTGAAAAATTGCTTTTTTTGACTTATCCCCTTATGCCTTTTACCCACAGACTTGTTACAGAATATACTATTATTTTGCACTTTGAAATAAATTACATTTGACATTTTTTGATTGTCATATGACCGTGTATCGAAACAATTGTATAATTTTATGGACCGTCAAATTTGATGGCCCATCAATTTTTTTAGCCTCTAGCAACAGTGACTTTTTTGAAATAAAACTGTTTTAGCAAATTTAAGTAGTGTCATTGGTTGCTTATAAATTAAGTGTGTCTTGACTTTATCAATATATGTTTACATAGAACCAGAGATGTAAAAAAACGGTTTTTTTTTCAGATGTGAAAAAAAACATTAAAAAAACCTATTCTGTCATAAATAACATCAAACTTAAAAAATGGAGTAATTTTTCAAAATGAAATTTTGAGTAAAATGTATATTAATAATAAAGTGAAATGTAGAATATATTACATTTTTCACTATTGAAAATTTTGACCGAGACTAAAAAGTCTGATTTCTTATTATTTGGTAGTTTCCACATAAGAAACCAATAGCAATGTAAAACTTCTACACTAATAGAAAAAATTAAAGGATAAACAAATTCCAAATTTTTTGCGATTTTTCGGATAGTTGTATCTTCGTTAAAAATGGTCGTATTGGAGCCGTAAAAAAAAGCAATTTGAAGCTTGAAGTTTCTAGTTTTGAGATTTTTAGATTGAAAAACGTGCAACGCTTAATCCTAACGAATACCGTAATAAAAAAATTCGAAATTTTTTTGGCTTTCTTTTTTGGTCCACGGAATGGTTTGACTTTACTACCAATGAATAAAGAATTTGCTATTGTTTTTTTGAAAAAAAAATTCCATACTCTACATGATTTTGAAAAATCAGCAAAAAAGTGCTTTTGGTAGCTTTTTGAAAAATCAAGCGCTAAATCAAAAATATTATAGGTAGTTACTAAATGTCATTTAGTGGCTAATTTTATTTAGTCCATGAACTGGACTGGAAACATAAAAAATTAGGCAAATGGGACTAATCTTGAGAAAAAAAAAATATTAAAAAAAAAACCATTTGAAAAAAAACAATGAAAAAAAACCTGAACAAAAAACAAAAAAAACTAACCGTTTTTTTTTTCAAGTCGCATCTGTACATAGAAAAGTATTTTACGATTTTAATACTTTTTTGCTGTTTTTCTTAATTTAAGGTATGTTTTTGTGTTTAAATTTGATTTTATATAGTATTTTATTGAATTTAAAAGCATTTTTAATTTCTAAATACTTAATTTGAACAGTTTTCCTTTAAAATATTTACTATTGCCTATTTAAAATTACTATTTCCAGTTAATTATAATTTATTACACTGTATCGGATTAATGACGTCATAAAAAATTGACACATTTTTAAACAAAACACCCGATAATACACTACTGCCTTGTGTATAAGAAACTGATTTCAGATAGTTTCATCTTCCTTTCACTAAAAATCCCACGGGATGCACTATGCTCCAAAACTATAAGGAAAACTTGCTTAATCAGTGTTTATCAATAAGAAATTTCTCTTAGCGACGCGTCGCGACGCGTTGCTGGCCGGCTAACCGGCTAATTAGCTGAGCTAAGCCAGATTAACCGGTTAAGCCGCCAGCTAATTAGCTAAGCTAATTTAGTTAACCGGTTAAATTAGCTAACCTGATTAGTTAGCTAGCTAATTAACTTAGCTTACTATTTTAGACGGCTTAACCGGCTAAATTGTAAAGCCCTACTTTTTACTTTTTCCAATTTAAACCCGATTGGTTCAAATCATAGTAAATATTGAAATCAGGCAATCACTAGGTAATGCCTAACAACGTGAATGAGTTTATTATTCACGTTGTTAGACAAAAAATTAAAAATGTGTGTCATTAAATACGGAAACAACATAATATTATGCAATAGCAGTAGATAAAAGATTATTATTATTATAAGTTTTTAATAATTTTCCCCATAGAATAAAAAATAAAGACCTATTTTTTGGGTATGCCTGTAGTAATACTTAAAGTGGATATAGCTGCTTTTGCACGGATGCTCCTCAATTAGCAATTAGTCTAAATATGGTCATTGTATATATACAGCCGGTTCAGAGTAAAACCGAATATAGGGAAACGTATGGGCCGTGGCCTCGCCTCCCTCCAACGCGCGACACAGTAGCTAAGCGAATGTTAATGAGATTTTTTGCATTATTATCATTTAATTTTCAAGGTCGTCTTACCTCGTCGACCTTTCGTCATGTCGTTTATCACACAAGGTACTGTGACGCGCGTTGGAGGGAGGCGAGGCCACGCTCCATACGTTTCCCTATATTCGGTTTTACTCTGAACGGGCTGTATATTAACTGGTGATTTATTACTTTCCAATTTACTGTAGTACCATGGTATTAATTTCTGCACATAGCGAATTTCAAAGAAAAACAAACACGAATATTTATAATCATTTTTATAAATATTAACCAAGGTCCGGTTCACTACAGGAATAATTATTATATAACTTGTGTAGTTGGCGATAAGATAAAAATAATGAAAATGTTACTTTTAGGTATCGGTTATGAAACAGCTTTGGATCTAGCAAAACGTGGAGCAAAAGTTATTTTGGCCTGCAGAAACAAGCATAAAGCGGAAGAAGCTTGTGAGAAAATGAAAAATGAAACTGATAACCACGAAATTTACGTTAAAATTGTTGATTTTACTTCTTTTGAATCTGTAAGAAAATTTGCGAATGACATAAACAAAAATGAGCATAGGTTAGATATATTAGTGAACAATGCTGGAGCTGGAGGTTTGGGTGATAAGTATATTGGCGAAGATAAATTGCAAATTCTCATGATGACCAACTATTATTCACACTTTTTAATCACTAATTTATTATTAGGTAAATATACAGTCTGTTCTAGGTCTGAAATCTAATGTTAACAGATTTACTATAAATTTAAGTAGGTCTCCATTGTATTACATTTTTTGGGAACAACAATGCGGATGTCCAGAGGACATTGTTCACCCTTTCCGGATTTGCGCCGGTCCAGAATATACGCCTAGAGGGATAGGGGAGCTGGGAACTAAGAGGGCAGACCTTCAGGTTTTCAGGGGATAATATCGCCTACCCAAACCTATAGGTTTCCGAGTTGTATCTATAAATAAGACTCGGAATCCCCCTAGACCGGGGCGTTTAGTAATATCCCAAACATTTGGGGGTCATGTTTGCGGCTGGGTGTTGTTGTTTCGTTGTTTGGGCCTAACATTTTTTTGTGTGTACTGCTTCTTGTTCTACCGCGTCCGTGTCTCCTCGGTATTCCGGTATTTGGTAGCTGGCTTGAAGAAATATTCGAACAGTCGTTGTTTACTAAGGTGATATGCGCAAATTATTTACCCCACTGTCTTCAGTACTGAAGTAATGCCGTTCATGTGGATTTGTTGAAAAAAACAGCCGCTTCTTTCGCGGTCATGTTGAAATGTAGGAAACATATATTTATAAACAAATTATTTTACCCTATTGTGCGATGATCATTAATGTCGTTAAGCCTTTCAGTCTTTTTACATGACTTCGATCAACTCGAGACGAATGTTTGCTTTTTTTAAGTCGCATCTATGTGTATTGGGTGCTTCAAAACAAATTTTAATTGTTTTTTTTTTCGTTCTTACCCTCTCAAATGTTTCTATTTAATATAAAAAAAATCCTCACCAAATATGGGCGTTCCAGCTCAACTCTAAGAGGTCGCTGTTTTTATTTTAGTTTCCCATTTAATTAACATGGGAAAAAATAGTTTTATGCTTGGAATTTTATACCTCTCCATCAAAGTAACATATGGCAATGATCATTGCAATTTCTTATATAAAATGTAACGCTGTACAAAACAGGTTTCTTATTATTTTTCGATAAATTGATTTCTTCTACAGTTATTCGAGGTCAAAATTTGATTAACATCAAATTTTCTGGTTTTTTTTTTAAATTTTATGGTACAATTAGCAGACGGGAGGTAAGGGGGCAAAACAAGGCAGCGGGGGGGGGGGGGGGGCAAAATGGGGTATCCAAAAAATTTCGTAAATTTTTTTTTAATTGTTTTTTTCAGTTTCTAAATTGTTTGAAAATATATTGACTCACTAGTTCACGCCTTTAATCGAAAATAATTGTTCTGAGCCTGCAGAGCGAGAAAAAGGAAGGTAAAAATTTGAAAAACGTTTCCATCGAACTTTTTTTTCGGATTGTATGCAAACTAGGGTGCTTCAAAAAAAAATATTTTTTTTTATCAATCACCAAAATTTGGGAGGGTAACAGTCTCGGTAACAGTTGAAAAAAAATTTTTTTTTGAAGCACTCTAGTTTGCATACAATCCGAAAAAAAAGTTCCATGGAAAAGTTTTCCAAATTTGTACCTTTTAAGAAACTTTTTGGGTACCTCATTATTATATTATTATTTTATAGTAAATAGAAACATTTGAGAGGGTAAGAGCGAAAAAAAACAATTAATTTTTTTTTTGAAGCACCCTAATGTGTATAGTACCTACTTTCGCCTGCATTTTTTGTTCATTTAATAAATTCACATACAGTAGAAACCACGAATATATGAACGTGACTCATCCGGCACATTTGTACAAAGCAATCTATCGAAGGTCACGGTCCAGTGCAGTGCTGTTCTAACGGGGGCATAAGTATTTGTAAAAAATCTTGAGTGTAATGTTGGTTGCTATACTTATGATATATTTAATAAAAAGGGGGTGTGTTTTGTATATAGGTATATATTTATTAATAAAATGAGTAGCCAAGCGCTTTCGTCACCTGTCTAGTGACATCATCAGGGCTAGCCCTGAAAAGTAAGTAAATTTTAGTTTTAAATTGCAAGATTAAATTCTTGTTTTACTTACTTGTCAGGGCGAGCTTACATTTCTTAGCAGCAGTGAAATTGAACAAAAATACATTTATCCCTGAGGGGGATTTAACAAAAACAGATTTTAAAAAATTATTACATTTCTAACGTTAGAAATTTTGACATATGACAACGGAACCATGAGGTGGTTGTTACCAACATAATTGAATTGGTGCCAACTTCGTAAAACTAATATTGGCGGCAAATTTGAAATAACATGATTGATGATACTATGAATAACAAATTATAGATTGGTAAGTTACAGAAAGTCTCAATAATAGTGAGGAACAAAAGTACATTTAGCCTTGAGGGGGATTTAACAAAACAGATTTTAAAAATTACAATTTTATCGCAATTTTATCGTTAAAAATTTTGACATATGAAAAAGGAACCATGAGGTGGTTGTTACCAACATAATTGGATTGGTGCCAACTTCGTAAAACAAATTTGCCGCCAATATTAGTTTTACGAAGTTGGCACCAATTCAATTATGTTGGTAACAACCACCTCATGGTTCCGTTGTCATATGTCAAAATTTCTAACGTTAGAAATGTAATAATTTTTTAAAATCTGTTTTTGTTAAATCCCCCTCAGGGATAAATGTATTTTTGTTCAATTTCACTGCTGCTAAGAAATGTAAGCTCGCCCTGACAAGTAAGTAAAACAAGAATTTAATCTTGCAATTTAAAACTAAAATTTACTTACTTTTCAGGGCTAGCCCTGATGATGTCACTAGACAGGTGACGAAAGCGCTTGGCTACTCATTTTATTAATAAATATATACCTATATACAAAACACACCCCCTTTTTATTAACACACATGGTATACAAGTCAAATAATACAGTTTATGATATATTTGCTTTTAAAGTTAAATTTTAATAATTAACATCTACGATAATTAAATAAAATGTAATTTTCTTAGAAACTAATTAATAAATAAACTTTTCTTTTAACTTTAATGAAATATTCTATCATCTGATGACAGAATGTACACTCGTGGCGACATCTCTGTTTTTAATATCTAATAAATTTTAGACCGATCCAACCTCACTTTCTTCCAATTAAATTCTTTGTCTATGGTATTTTTTGGAAACGTAGAAAAAGTATAGTCTGAAAGACGTTTGGAATTGCATATTCCCCTCTCGTGAAACCGTCAAACTCGCCTTCGACTCGTGTGACAAACTTTTCACTCGAGCGGAATATGCCGTATTCCAAACTTGTTACAGAATATACTATTATTTTAACTGTAAACGCAAATATTTCAGAATTGGTGACAAAAAAAATGTTTACGCAGGTCAGGTACAAAGTGAAAGATATTTAAATTGTGTGGATATAAAAACAACGTTAGTTTCACGAAATTTATAAAATATTGACAGTTGTTTCGCTACACAGTAGCTTCTTCAGAATGTATTAAACTAATACTAGTACAAAATTTATATAATAAAAATATTTTTGTATTCTAGCCTAGAATTTCTAGTTAAGGATTTTTATACGACATCTACCTGTGTTACATAATATAACCCACTGCCACTACAACGTTTAAAACGATTATTAATCCGTTAACACACTCCGTTTATTTAAAGTCCAAAAAACGTACAATAACAATTGCAATAAAGTCCAATAAACATGCAATAACAATTGCAATAAAAACCACTAGCACTACAACGTTTAAAACGATTATTAATCCGTAAACACACAGCAGAAACGCGATATGCAAAAACAAAGATCATATGACATATAAAAACAAATGGCCGACGGTAAAGTTGGTTGCCTTACTATGTAATAAAATAAAATAAATTGCCTAAAACACGAACTCTACTGAATTCCAAAAAAAATAAGTAACAAGCTAGGACACGCGTCATATGTCCATCTTTGTCCAACACCTAGGCAGTTTTACATCACAGATGGCGAATTTTAGACCGGATGCTTAAGAACCTACGTGTGAGTACATTTACCGCTGCATCGAATGTACAAGACAAGTAAAACATTGCTAGCATGTCTGAGATATGTTCGGCACCCGATGAGTCACGTTCATATATTGGTGGTTTCTACTTTACCATGTTTTGGTTGCATCCCCCTCCAGATTTTTTTATGCTTGGGGGTTGTTAGACAATGCAAGACCGCTTATCAGTAAAGGTTGCGAATTAAATTTTGCTTGTAGTTATATATCTGTTTGTGTCCTTCAAATCCGGCGCGATGTTTTATTTTGCACACACACAGAAAAGTAAATTATTAATTTCAAAAAATGCATTTTTCAAAACGGGTTTTATTGTACGAAAAAAAATTTTCTTATTCATAGTAACTTCTTGTTTTCTATAACAATGTGCTATTATTTGGTTCTAAATCGCAAGTTTCTTAAAAACAACCTATTGTTGTCATTTATTCTAAATAAATATCCATTTAGAGCTATTAATTAAATTGTTTAGATCTTAGTTATTTGGATTTCGTTTTTATGAATGTTTAAATACAAGCATATAATATCTTATTTTAAGAAAATAATAGATTGGGTAAAGTCAACTAAATAGTTGCTTGCATTAACCAAATATAAGTTTAAAAAGGTCAAGTAAATGTAAAGTGTTCACCAAATAAACATTTTCTTGTATACGTATATCAAAATAAAGGATTTATTTAAGCCAAGTCGAATATATAAATTTTCTCTGTGCCTATGGTACTTGGTAATAATACTGTAGATCTAAGAATTGGGCTTAGGAATGATTCCTAAGCCCAATTCTTATCCTAAAGAATCGAGCTAGGGTAAAAATATCTTAGGAAAGTATTTTTCTTTTAGGTCTTCTTATGAAAACGGGCAACTCCAGGGTGGTAAACGTATCTTCAATAGCGGCTAAATATGGAAAAATTGACTTGTATAATCTAAACTTCTTCGAAAACAATATAAAAGTGTATAATACAACCAAACTGTGCAATATACTTTTTACCATAGAACTGGCTTCTAAATTAAAAGGTACAACTGTCACTACTTATTCCCTTCATCCAGGAGTTGTTGACACTGATTTATTTAGACAAATGCCACCGTGGATGCTTGCTATAACCAAATTTATTGGTCAGAGATTCTTTAAGGTAAATATAAATGAGTACATTGGATGCACAACTCTGTATTTCTAAAGTAATTTTAAGAAAAACATGAAAACCGCTCATAAGATCATTTTTGAAAAAAGAATGCAAAAATTGTAGACTTGCTTTTGCATCATTTTTATTCAAAAAAAGTAATAAAGAATCCTTTAAAATTAGGTATTTTAGTGAATAATTGTAATCAAAAGATTTAAAAACATAGTTTTGCATCTTCCTCGTTCAAATGTCAAGTTAGCGACTTGATTGGTCAACAGCGACTTTTGCATCCGACAGGAAGAAACAAATACTCAGTTTAGCATCGGCGTTAAGTTTTTAAATGTATTTTATTCTACAAAATGATCTTCAGCGGTTTTTCATGTTTTTCTTGAAATCACTTATCCTGCAAATACAGGCTCTGTATTACAGAGTTGTGCATCTAATGTACCATAAACACGGGTGGCTGAAAAATCTTGTCTCGCTCGATAAAATTAACAATTATAATTTTTTGGTCTAAACCTGTCAATTGAGCGATTCTATTAAGTTTATAATATAAACTTTATATTACAGGAAAATCAGTGTTTTAAAGAAATAAATGGGATTTATTACACTTTTAAATTGTATATATTGCATCAGTGCAAAACTATTAAAAATACACGCGTTACAATTTCTATATTATGCACAATCCTTTGGAATGATGATCCTTGGTTAACTACAGGTCGACTTTTTATTTTTTTATCGGTAATCCCTTGCAATCGTTATATGTCGCTGCTAACATGTGTCTAATAAAAATAAAATAAAATATTGAGTTAATTTTATACGGAAAATACACTGTGAGACAAAGTTACCCGCAACCAGGGGGTAACTTTGCAGACCCCAGTTTTTAATTTATATTTTTGAAACTTATGTGATATTATAACATAGTTATTATGAAAGAGCAACTCAAGACTCAAATTTTGGTATACAATATTTAATGTTTATGATTGTTAAAACCACAAAAATTTTAAGCTTAAGTTTGAAAGTGAGCCACCCGTGTTTACGGTACTCATATATTTTTAAAAATTTGTATCTCAAATATCAAATGTACATCAAATATCAAATGTACATCAAAGAATGACTTTATTTTATATTTTAGAGTAATACCGAAGGAGCTCAAACCACCATCCACTGCGCTGTTCAGAAAAATTTGGAAGCACTTTCAGGTGAACATTTTCATGATTGCCATCCTGTAGAAAGGTACAGAAGCGTTGATGAGATGTTATGCAAAGATTTGTGGAATAAAACGGAAGAAATTGTTAAGTTGACATTGCAAGAAAAACCTTTTTAAAATAAAGAGATAAATGAATATAGTTTTTAAACATAAAACTTTTTTTTTAAAAAACCTTGTTGACCACCCGCTCCTATTTAAGTAAAAGTACAAACATTTTATTCAATATTTTGCGAAGTTAGGCACAGTTTTACGGGCCCATTTTCCCGACAGCACTTAAGCATGGCAGATATAAAGTGAGAGAAATATGCGTATAAAACGCGATTACGTGCTAAGGTTATAAGAAGTGCCGGTAAAAGCATACCACCATCTTTATTCCAAAGGTGTAGGCTCTTAACCGTTTCCAGCCCTTTTTAAAGTATAGTGCACTTCAAATATAATATACAGGGATGTGATTAAATTTGTTTTTTACATTACGTGTTTCATTTAAAAAATACCTACATAAAAGTAATTAAAAAGTATTTTTTTTTTAAATTTATTATTTAATACAAAGCTAAGCGTCCGATATATTTTTCATGGAAAAATTATTTAAAAAACGCATCCCAAGCAGAAAAATAATTAGTTTTTATTAGGAGTACCTAATCAATAATTTCCTTCGTAGTTTAAATTTGTTTCAATACAATCAATATATTCGTAATGATTATTAGCATTATTATTATGTGGATTATCTATTGTGGCTATTCCACCTTAAACAAAAAACAATTATTAACCAGTAGATAGTTTTAAATATCTAACTTACCTGGCCTTTGGATTCTGCAGGATGAATATACTTTTTTGTGACAAAACAAATGGTTTCGATAGATGATAAAATATACGAGTAAACAACATAAAATTATGAAACATGCTGTTCCTGCTAAGTATGGCCAAATATTGTTTTGGTATTTTTTTGGCAAGTTTCTTCTGTACCATTTACCATTACAGCAAATATAACAAGTATCCTTACAGACTTTTAGATCAATTTGGCATTGGTTGTTAAAAATCTGAACATCGTTCTCAGATATATCTATTAGACGATTATTTTCCATGCATTTTATATCTTTTAGTTCTTCTGGTGATGTACGTTTGATAACTCTTCTTTCTGAAAAAAACTGGTTTTATTAATTAGATACTTTTAAAAATGCAGAAGGTGAAGCAACATGAGCTCCAAACCATTGATTACACTGTGTGACAATTTTGGGGTCATCGAAATCAAACCGCACCGGACTATTTTTTTCTGAAAATATACCTATCCAATAGCAAAACCCTCGCTGGGTTTGTAAAAGTTAACTCGAATTTCTTTTTATGAGCCTAATATACCCCAAATTAGACTTATAAATCAATTTTTTTCGTATATATTCCATTTATAACGTCAAGATTTTTTGTAGAAAACTGTACAAATAAACCCATTTTGTGAACAACCTATATCCCAAAAACCAATTTTTGGGACCAAATATTCGAAAAATTATTTTATATTTAAAATTTCTTGCTACTTCTTCTGGCAAAAATGTTGTAAAATGTACTAGAAGAATTTATAAAATACGCACACTAAACTGAACTTTACGTTTGCTTATTTGCTGGAAAACAATGTTTGAACAAGATTTTCCAAAATAATTAATCTGTTTCAATTTGTTTGTTTGTTAATTAACAAACAATTGCTTTCAAATGACCAATTAAAACAGATTACTTACTAAACAAAAAAAAATGGTTAGAAAAGTGTTGTGTACTGACCATCCTGGTTGCATAAATATATGTTTTCAAAATACCAGTATGTATCGACATTTTCTTTCGCAGTTGTAATAAGGTTTACTTCCAAATCAAAGTTTTGAAACTTATTTTCTGAGCATATTTTAAAATATTTCCACTGTCCATGTGTTCTCTAAAGTAGCTTTTATTAATATGATACTTGGTGTAATATCTTATAACTTACAATATATTTGGTTTTATTCTTTTGATAATCAATCAAAGTATAATTAAGTTCACAAGTTTCACATGTTAAAATAAATTGGGATACGCAATTATATTTATGTGTATTTATATTTTCTGTAAAAGAAAATTTATACAATACAGGTTTTTTTAACTTTAATATAACTGCCTAAAAAATAGAAATTACTGAAAATAATAATTTTTTAAATATGTATGTTTCACACCAAATTTTGCCGAAATCTTTGGAAAATCTGTAGGAAAAAATTAATTATATAAAATAGAATTGTTGCCAAGTACAGAGAGTTTGATTTTTTATTTTGTATTAATTTTATTATTAAAAAACTTTTTCATATCGAAATATTGAGTAATCTGATTAATTGCTGAAGAATTCCATCTCTTCCACTTCTTCTTTATTTTCTTGTTCTTCATTTTCATTTTTTGATTCATTACTGCAGAATTACATACGATGATTTCTCTTATCGATGCCCACGCAACTACTTCATTGGCAATCAAGGCCCTGTCATGAAAAGTTATAGGCCAAGACAAAGCCGAGTACTGTAATCGTTTCGTCGAAATCGGCATTGTCAAAATGTGTAATATTTTATTTTATTTCAAATTTATCTAAAAATTTACGTCATGAGTATCGATTTTTAGTAAATTTGAAATACAATGGAATATTATACATTTTGACAATGCCGATTTCGACGAAACAATTACAGTGCTCGGCTTTGTCTTGGCCTGTAACTTTTCGTGACAATGAGATAGTTGCGTGGGCGTCGATAAGAGAAATCACAGTTGGCAATTATAAAGGATCTGTGCGACGAATGTTGGATGCTTTTTCCAAAATTGGAGTCAATAAATAGCTAAAAATTTATTCTGTTCATTGCCATTTGGACTACTTTAGTCGACAGTTATCCTTTTTCTATGGTTATCGACAGATTCAGATGAGCAGGGAGAGCGTTATCATCAAACTGGTATGCCATTTGAGACCAGATACAGAGGAAACCGAGCTCCAGATGCCATACTAGCCAAAACATGTTGGTGGAGTAAACATATTTTTGATTACGATCAGGAAGAAAATGAAAATAAAGAACAAGAAAATAAAGGAGATGAATTGGAAGGGATGGAATTCTCCAGCAATGAATCAGATTACTCAATGTTTTGATGTGAAAAAGTTTTTGAATAATAAAATTAATACAAAATAAAAAATCAAACTCTATGTACTGTTCTACAATTCTATTTTATCTATTCAATTTTTTCCTACAGATTTTCCAAAGATTTCGGCAAAAAAATTGGTGTATAAATCGAATATATGCGAAAAAATCGATTTATAAGTCTAAATTGGAGTATATGAAGCTCAAAAATACAAACGGCCTTAAAAAAAAATTGAGCCAACTTTTACAAACCCAGCGAGGGTTTTGCTATTGTATAGGTATATTTTCAGAAAAAAATAGTCCGGTGTGGTTTAATTTTTGGCACAGTAGTAATTAATCTGTTTCAATTTGTTTGTTTGTTAATTAACAAACAATTGCTTTCAAATGACCAATTAAAACAGATTACTTACTAAACAAAAAAAATGGTTAGAAAAGTGTTGTGTACTGACCATCCTGGTTGCATAAATATATGTTTTCAAAATACCAGTATGTATCGACATTTTCTTTCGCAGTTGTAATAAGGTTTACTTCCAAATCAAAGTTTTGAAACTTATTTTCTGAGCATATTTTAAAATATTTCCACTGTCCATGTGTTCTCTAAAGTAGCTTTTATTAATATGATACTTGGTGTAATATCTTATAACTTACAATATATTTGGTTTTATTCTTTTGATAATCAATCAAAGTATAATTAAGTTCACAAGTTTCACATGTTAAAATAAATTGGGATACGCAATTATATTTATGTGTATTTATATTTTCTGTAAAAGAAAATTTATAGAATCCAGGTTTTTTAACTTTAATATAATTGCCTAAAAAATAGAAATTATTGAAAATAATATTTTTTTAAATATGTAGTTTTAAAATTATTAAAATATACAGTGTGTCCACTGATGAAGTTGACTACACAGTAAAAAATTGAGTGTAAAATTTTACACTCAGTTTACACTCATGAGTGGTGCATATAGATCCAGCAGTTTCAGTGTAAAATCCATTTATATTTCTGAGTGTAAAATATGGTATTTTTAACATAATTAAAACTGGTAAAAGCTATGTCAATGCGTGTAAAAACCTATACCTTTTTAACACACATACGAGTAAAACTAGTTTAACAACGTGTAAAAGTACCGCGTTGTTATACACGTTCGAGTGTAAAACTAAGCAAATTCAGTGTAAAATAGACTCAATATAGAGTGCAGAAGAAAACCTTTTAAATTGGTAAATTAGAAACTATGAGTGTATGATCGAATTATTAGAGTGTAAAAGTACACTTGCGGAAAAGTAATAAATACAGTATTAAGTGTGAAACTTATTTATTGGAGTGTAGAACTCACTTTTTAAGAGAGTAAATTATACAAATCTGGGTGTAATTTTTATTTATTAGAGTGTATAATTAAACTCGATACAGTGTAAATTTTAAAAAAATTCAATATTGGGGATGGGCTTCTAGAAATTATGCCAAATATTTAAAAATATTATCACTTTATTAACAAAATAATAAAAATAAAAAAAAAAATATATATATATATATCTATCTAATCTAATAACAGTTTTGATTTATCATATTTAAAAGACCCTGTATTTATCCGAGTCGGTAATACATTTCAATCTTATCTTACAGGTACTCTTAAATATTAAAGTTACACGTTTTCAAATTTTACATTTTAAATAAACTAGTAAATAATATTATGACGTCCATTCCAAGCCCATGGACGGGACACATCAGAAACATGTCTAAATATATGCTTGTTACTTCCTTAAGTTTACTTATTTTTTTCTACGAGTATTTATGAGAAGTATTAGACAAATTACCAAATTACATTATATTCAATGTCCTTCAACACAAAAGAGATAAAATATCTGGTACTCATGCACATATTGCTTTTCTCTTATTTTTTATACTGATGGATGGCCGTCATGTTTTAAAAAAAGCGGTTAGCAAAGTCGATTTTAAAATAAAATGTATATATACTTACCTAGTCTTACAATATCCTCATAAGAATCATTAGTAATATCTATTTTACAGTATTTAACACTA